AATGTTCTGTATAAAACAATTTTCTGGTGGTTTTTAAATGTCATAACTCAAGAGCAGAATGGGAGACATTTGGTCAGATACCGAATTGGCGACTTTAATCTTGGGTGCCCACCTTGAAACTGTGCTGATTGTATAGATCTTCTGTACTGTCTTGGGGGGCGATGTTTTCAAAGACATGGATATAAACTGTGAGAGAAACTTGACTGGTGGGCAGAGGCATACAACCCTGGGGCGTTAATTCTAGTTGGAGATATACTTATATTACTGAGCGTTAGATCGATACCATTCCCATGAGAGGGGTATCAATGTTCTTATCCAACTCTTGGCAAGAAAGTAAAACAGCTTACTTCCCTAATGTCAAAATAAATATGATAATAATGACAACATGATAATATTATATCTTAAGAAATGCCAGCCAAGTAAGGCAGTTTAAAAACATTCCATTATTATTATTATTATTATTATTATTATTATTATTATCATTGTTGTTGTTGTTGTAAGTATTAGTATTAGTTTTATTACTATAAAAGTAATACACACAACAACACACAGGTGGAAGAAGGGATGTCCCAAACCAATGTTAACAGGACGAACAATTACAAGACAGGAAGACCCTGTCAGTGTACATATGCACCTGAGTAATGTTTTAAGATAGCATCTTCTACCCACAGAGTCACATTCATTCATTCAGTCTCCCATGGGGACTGTCTCATGATTTCAACACCACAATGCAAATGACTGTTAAATATGGTGCTAAGTAATGTGTATGCCTGTGCCTATGTGTGTGTGTGTCCAGTCTGACAGTATGGAGCTCCAACTGGTGTGAGTCCTAACTGGACTGGAGGTTGGGCCAGTTAGTGGCTGTCTGTGCTGAGCTGCTGATGGCACCTAGTTTGCACAGAGGACATCTTTACAGTGTGTGTATGTGTGTGTGTGTGTGTGTGTGTGTGTGTGTGTGTGCAGAGTGAATGATTGGGGCTGACAGCAGCCTCTGTATTGCTGGCTGGCCTGCAGATTTAGCCGACCTGTTTTAGACACTCTAATCTGGATTAACTGCAGCAGTGTGTCAGTGGGGACGACAACCACAGCCTCCCCCACACTCTGCCCCTTCACCTGCTTCTCCTCCATCCCTCTCACTTCCCCTCCCCTTCCTCTGTGTACCTACAGCCCCTGCTCTTTTCCTACACCTGACTTACATTCACCTGTTCTTATTTCCATTTTCCTGAGTTTCCAGACCTGAGTTGGCCTGCAGAATGTTAAAAACAAACTTCAGTCTTAAAATAAAAACGCTTGCTTGCATCATCCTGAGTGTGTCTCTGTGAGTCCAGCTTTAGGGGGGAAGGGCAGTCGGGCAGGGATTATACCAGATCACTCATCTTCCCTACTTCCCTATTTGCTGTTGCAGCTGTGAAGCGGTTCCACTGTTGGATGAAGATTGAAATGCCATCATCAGTATCATCTGGACAGTGTTCATATAGCATATATGATGGTTTTTTTTACCAAATAAAACAAAGCCAAAAAAAAAAAAAAATCACTTTTTTTTTTCAACTTTTAAAAATCCCACATTAGGAGCCAAATTTTGAGCAGTGATTTCAATGCCTCATATCAATAATTCACCAATATTTCAATATAACAGATTGTCGTGATGACCTCATGTCTTGAATAAAAAGGTCTTTTGTAAATAAAAACTCAACATTATAAGACAAAAAGTAAAAAAGTATTTTGAATTTAAAAAATGAGCTTTTAGAGCATGATATAAAACTATAATGTGCTAAACTATGCATGCACATGTACATGTACAGAGTTCCCTTTGAGTCCCAACACATGCACATGTGTATGTATCTGAGACTCATTACTGAGCAGTGTTCTCTCACTTGCACTACACTGAAGTCCACAAAAACAAAGTGGGACACCAGGAATCCAATGTTTTTATTTATCCATGTCTATGTTAAAACGTGTCCATTTGTAGGTGTCCATTAGGTGCCAGCTGTCTGCGTGCTCTGAGTCCTCTGTCAACGCTGCCCTCCCTCCATCTTAAATTCTCGTCACCATGTTCTCCATCTTCTGCAGTTTTCTTGTCTTGTCTTGTCTTTTTCCCAGTCCACTTATCTAACTATCCTTTTCACCCTTTGTACAGCTATAGTTCCCTCCAGCCTCCTTTCCTGCGCCACCACTGAATGGATTGCTCTGTCTTTCCTCCCTTTATCTGGAGATAAGATACTTACTTTTAAGATAAAGCATATTATGATAAATCAAATGAGCTTTGTCGGTTTTGTGTGTGTGTGTGTGTGTGTGTGTGTGTGTGTGTGTGTGCGTGTGCGTGTGCGTATGTGTGTGTGTGTGTTTTGCAGCTGTTTTGGAGATAAATGTAATCTGTCAGTTATGTGTGAATGTATAAACTGGGGCAGATGTGCAGCAGGTTAGGGTTAAAAGAGAATGAAGAAGGCTTTGAAGGAGGACAAAATTGTAACTGAAACCAATTTTGCATATTCCTAAACATTGTAATTTGTTTCTTTTCACTCAAGCAGTTATATTACAAAAGGAACATATTTGATTTTATTTTGGAGACTTTCATATTCATTAAATCATTCATGTAACCTGTGGCTATTCATTAAAAAAGATCTTCAGACGTTTCGGCCATGCTCTCCCTGTTCTTTTGCTGTCTGTTTCCTTAGTGCCACATTGTCTACAATAGACTTGCGTATGTGTAACAATCATGGTTAATTCTGGACTAAGTGACAAAGTGACAAAAATACTAAAAATGTCTGTGACAACACAGGATGGCACACAATAGCATAATTAATGATTTTATGGCACCTGGGAGCAGGCACATGCACAGATAGACCCAAGACAGTGCTTAAGCACCTGCCCTTTTGCCCTCTGTCTGGATAAGTGCCCTTTTTGCAAGACAGTTTTTTCTTTTTCTTTTTAATAATCTTATAACCTATGTAAGTTTTGGCCCATGGCATGAATTCTTAGTTAAAAGTCTGTTGTATGCCCAACAACTGCATTTGAGTGGAGCCCCCGCTCCTCCCTCTTACACTTCCCTTGTGGCAGCCGCACACAATTTGAGCGCCCTGCAGAGCTGTAGGCAACACTGTGTCTGTCCTATCTGCAGTCATGGACAGCCAGGTGACAATAGTGTTTGTCCTCAGCATTGTTTGTCACTGTTGTGAAATCAAACCACTATTAAAACATCTCAATAAAGCCAGACTAATTTAGGCAATAACCTGCCATTAACAACAACTAAGCCAGCCTGGCGTAAAACCACACCATCCCCTTTTAACTAGGGTGGGGTTCACCAACTGCCCGTTGCGAGCAGAGACTGACGCCAAATTGCTTTCCCACTCCTGCACGTCTTTTTAAACCAAATTCGACCTGAAATAACATTTATGCATCCCACATTGTGTCTCTGATAATTAATTTAAACAAAAATGACATGCAGTTTGAGGCTGCGCTGCGTAAAGAGCACAAAGGAGAAGAGGAGGAGTGCAGAGCTTCACATTTCTGTTGTCTGGATTTCTTAAACAAAATTTAATGATTTTTTATGAAATAAAAAAATAGCATGTGACTGTTGCTAAAAGAAAGGAGGAGAAGAAAATGAGGAGAGGAGAAGAACAATTTTTTGGAGAGGAGAGGAGAGGAGAGGAGAGGAGAACGCACTTAGTCAGATTGTTGCAAGTGAACACAGGCCTACTTTGTAGTTTGGAGAGTAGATTGGTTGGTTTGTTATTTATTCAGAGCCTTTTTCAATTTTGTGTAAAGATTTGTTGATTGTGATGGTCATTTACTTTATATATCACTAAAGCCTGCACAATGTGGCATTGTTGTCTTTGTTGTTGCCTGTTAAAAACAAATGATAATTGTAGAAAGTGAATGTATGTGTAGCAGCTGCTAGGTGTATACAGTATAGATACCTCATAAGTAAGATAGATAGACATTGTCTGCTAATTACTGTGCACAAATGTACTGTGTGTACTTAGGTCTCAAGATGAAGAAACCCTCTGGTGCTGGCAGATAGAGACCTCAGAGACGGCTTCACTTTACATGCGCACATTTTTTCATGCATGCAAAAATAATTTGAGGAAGGGATGCCCTTTTTCCCACTTTAGCGGCTGCCCTGTAAAATGTCTGTGCATGGCACTGCCTAGGAGCCTAAAAACATGCTGGTTTCACTTCAGAGAAATGTCCCATTTTAGCTTAATTTTTTGTCCCATTTTACCTGAATGCATCAAGTATTTACTCAAAACCCTTTCCCATAAAAACTAAAATGTAAAATTGAACATATTTTGATTAAAAGTGGAACATTTAATAAAATGCAACACCTACCTACCTTTTTTTTGTTATACCCTTAGTTCTTTAGTGACAGAACACTTATTACCAAAATGAGAAAATCAATATTTCACATGGCTTTTCTTGGAAGTTCTGGCAACAGTGATTTTTTTTAATCTTTGGTGTGTCCCTCCCACTTATCTCAGACCAATCAAAATGATTGTTTAATGTAAAGCACATTTGTATCAACAGCTAGTACTAATGTTTATAGAGCCCAAGATGTAAAACCTTATTTTACGTGATGTCCGAGGTTACCTGGCTTCACCCTGTTGTTATTGTTGTTGTTGTTGTTGTTTATATTGTTATTATTATTATTATTATTATTATTATTATTATTATTATTGTTGTTGTTGTTGTTACTAATAACAATAATGATAATAATAATGATAACAATCTTTGAACCACTTTCTTTTTTAAGCTTGTACTCGTGTATTTAATCCACATGAGTAAAACCAGGGTCAAAGAATTCAAAGAATGTATGAGAATAAACTTTGTGTTAGTGTAGGGTGTCTTATTATGTAGCTTGTTGCTTTGGATAGTTTACATCGTGTGTGTGTGTGTGTGTGTGTGTGTGTGTGCGTGTGTGTGGTGGGAGGGGTTTGCTGAAGCCACTTGCTCCCTCTAATTAGCAACGTGTGCCGGTAAGGAAACTCAGTGGAGCCACTTCACCGAGGCGCAAAGGCATCCGGCGGCCACTTCACCTGTGTGATGACTTAACTGTGTGAAATCTGTCTTGCAGAAACAGTTCGGATGCTCAGTGTGCTCTGGTGTTTCTCTGCTGCTGAGCGGACTGACAGTAAAAGCTGAAACTGCAGGTAGAAAAAAAAGATACTTAGAGGTCCCGCTTGTTTCCGCAGCGGGTTGGTTGGATCCGACGCAGCGACTTGTTGCCCCAGCGGAGCCCTGAGGGGGCCTCGGTTGTTGTGTTGCGTGTCCGATATACAAGTCAGCGACAGGACTTAAAAGCCTGCTGTAAGGATGATGTCCTACATAAAGCAACCCCATTACACCATGAATGGGTTAAATTTGCCTGGCCCCGGAATGGACGTGCTACACACAACTGTCGCTTATCCATGTAAGTACAAACTTTCAGTTTAAAAAACTTTTCTTTTGTTTGACTTTTGCCTCTTTGTCTTCTGCTGTTGTAGTAATTTAGCATATGTCCTTCCTATAATGGTGCGTAAAGACGCACGGGCTGTGCGTAAAGCTGTGACGAGCGAAAATTAATTAAAGAGAGTAAGCAATTGTTTCGTACGAGCCTGTATTGCAAAAAAGTTGAATATTAATGATAGTAAAATGTTCCCTACCATAATATCATCATTACTACGTCGATGTAAGACAAAGAAATATGTAATGTAACTTATGTTATGAGAGGTTGATGGTTTCATTAAAATCAGTCTTTTAATTCCTACATCACTCTGCTGCCGTAAATACAATGTTTTAATACAGATAATGCGCAGATACATCGAACTATTTCAAACCACTGAATTGCAGGTAATCTTTGCGCACTCCTGAGTTCAGTGTCTGTCAGAAATCAAACAAGATTTGACACTCTTTTTTTGTTGTTGTATGTTTCTCACTTTTTCCGTCAAGGGTTGTCAAATGTTCTCACGTCATTGACACTCAAATAATTATAGATCGACTGTAGATGGAGACACTTAATGTGCCAAATGCCAAATTCCCCTGACCTCCCATACATTTACTAATTCTTTACTATATTTGTTTTGAAACAAATACATCGGCATTTGGCTGTGTACCATGAAGGACTGATAGATGTGACTTTGAATGTACAAACTATAGTTAAAGTAATAAAATGAAACTGTTTGACCTTCTCAGGGAAAACTGAAATGCTTCAAAGAACCAGTGACTATTGATGTAATGAGCAATACACTTTGTCTTCATATTGGTCATGAACTGCCTGTCGAAAACAAGTCAGGATTATAAACAGTATCAAAATGTACTGTAGTTTTCATTAATATTTGTTTGTTGTCCCCTGCTCACATAGCTGGTAAACAGCAAAAATACCCAAATAATCACTCATGTATGTGTCATTTTTTTCCTTTAAAATAAGAGCCGGAGTTGTGCTCATAATTCAGGTCAACTCTCTGTCTCTGCCAGAATAATAATCCCTCTCTGTGTCTCTTGGGTGTTGGGTCTTGCAGCCACTCCCCGGAAGCAGCGCAGAGAGCGCACCACCTTCACCCGGACACAGCTGGACATCCTGGAGGCATTGTTCTCTAAGACCCGCTACCCAGACATCTTCATGAGGGAGGAGGTGGCCCTCAAGATCAACCTGCCTGAGTCACGTGTGCAGGTACTGGAGAAGTAGGCTACAGCCAAGATGGAGGCCATACTGTTAACTGTTTGTGGGTTACTTATAGTGAGACATCTGAAGAACCTTTAAGGCAACAAACTTCTTCTACAGAGGAAGTACAGCAGCATATTTATGCTGTCTCCTGCATAAACATTTATAGTATAACACCTCAAGTCGTCCTTGTGCTTTCTCACCTCTAATTATTTACAACTTAACATATTTGTATGTCTGGCAGTTGTTTCCTGTCCTCACATGTATTTTTTCCTCTGCACCTTCAGGTTTGGTTTAAAAACCGTCGTGCCAAGTGCCGTCAGCAGCAGCAGCAGAGCAGTGGCCAGTCCAAGCCCCGCCCACCTAAAAAAAAGGCCTCTCCAGTGCAGGAACCCAGCGCCCCTGATCCTGTCCCTAACCCACCTGGCTCCTACAGCCCCTCCTCTGCCCAGTCAGGCCCCAGCCTGGCCCCGAGCTCCAGTACTGGAAACACTGCCGTGTCCATCTGGAGCCCAGCCATCTCGCCGCTGCCCGACCCACTGGCCTCCTCCTCGGCCCCCTGCATGCAGCGGCCCTCACCTTACCCTATGAGCTATGGCCAGCCGTCGGCCTACACCCAAGGCTACGCCAGCACCACCTCCTACTTCACCGGCCTGGACTGCAGCGCCTACCTGTCCCCCATGCACTCGCAGCTGTCAGGCACCGTGGGCGCCCTCAGTCCCATCACTGTGCCCTCAATGGGGGGCTCCCTAAGCCAGTCCCCAGCCTCGCTGTCTTCACAGGGCTACAGCACAGCCTCCTCCCTGGGCTTCACCTCTGTTGACTGCCTGGACTACAAGGACCAGCAGGCCTGGAAACTGGGCTTCACCACCATGGACTGCCTGGACCATAAGGACCAAAACTCCTGGAAGTTCCAGGTCCTCTAAAGAGCTGGAAAGGGTGGTGTTCATGTGTGTCAACAAGTCCATGTGAGATAGTGTGAAGCAGTTCTGCCAGAAGACTTGTTAACTTTGATTTTCAGTTTTTTGTTTGTAAGATTTTGTTTTATTTTCTAAAGGTGACCTCTGTAGAAATGCATTTTATCTGAAAGACTTTGAAGATGAAGAGACCAGAGACTGTCATCAATGCTGCCTCACTGCAAATCATATCTGCCGTCTTCTTCATGCTTCGTTAAATGAGAGAACAAAAGCCTTTAATGAGTTTGTAGGGAAATACTGGAGTTGTGCATATGAAAACACGCTGGGCCATCTCTTCCTTTAACATGACTGTCTGACACATACACACAACATGTGTTTCATTTTGTTCCAAACTTTCATTGTTATAGAGTGAAAGGAGAGCTGCTCTGACAAGAAGGAGCTCTGGAATCCTGTAAGTCACCTCCTCCTTCAGGGTTTGATTATTATTATTAAGCTATTTACTATAATTTTATGCTACATTTAAATATGTAATTTGGTTGCTTTTAGATATTTTTGAGATATTTGTGTAGAGTATTACATTGTTAGCCTTTAGTTTTATCATACCAATCTGTCTGATGACAAAATAGATCTTCTGTTTTAGTTGTGTGACATATTAAAGTGATTATTCTTTACACTTTGTGCACTGATAATCATTGAGATTCTCTGACGTGTTTGCAAGCAATAGTGAATGTCATGAAATTTTCTGATTCTGATAGAGTTAGAGTTATAAACTGATCTACATTCAGAGGTCAGTATGAAGTCTGGACACAGTGGATGTAAAGTGGCCTCGTGGTGGTCAGGTCTAGACCTGTCATGTTTGTCAAATGGCCTGCATGGCTCTCACTGGTCCATCTTGGTTATTTTAGTTTATCTGATTCTGGGAGTGTCCCAATCCTCTTAGCCTCCCTTCAGCAATGCCCTAAGTGAATTATTTAGGATTATCCCCCCCCCCCGTCTCTCTCACCCATCTCACCCACCTCGGCCTTCTCTTTCCTTTCCTGGCTTTCTCCTTGCTTCCCTCCCATCTTTTCTATCTTTATCCATCTCTCCAACCAGCTTCATGTGTATCCCACTTGTTCTGTGTGTATTCCCTCCCTCCCCCCAAATAACTTGTTCCAAAATGTCTGAATCATTGAAAACAATGCAGTTTAATAAAGTGTTTTTACTACAGTTGTTTTCATTAATTGTTCCAGCTCTGAGATATCTCTCTATCATCCCTACATCATCTCAGCAGTTCCCCTTCTTCTGTCCCCTCCTGGACTCCACCCCCGCCTCTCCACCCATCTCCCCAACTTCTTTGACAGTTTGGTAATCCCCACATGACCTGATTACTGCCACGCAAACTTAACTATGACATCAAATATGTGAAAATGTTTTATAGAGGTGTATGATGTTCATGTTGAAGGAAAGGGGTTTGATTATCTGTTACTTAACAAATGCTTTCTTTCCAAAACATTTGATCCACCTCTAATTGATTTCTATGACTCATTTTGCCATCTTTTTAAGGCTACACTGGACAGTAGGTTTGTGATTTTACAGCAGTTACCATAAAATTATCAACACATTTAACCTATCTATCTAACCTAGTGTTCTTAAGGTAGTGTCATTTAGAATCAGATTCAAGTTGTGCAAGTGAAGTGATAAATGCTTCATTTCAGATAAATAAATCTAAAAGACTTGATAAAAAAAAATCTAATTCTATGTTTTGTTGCTATGTAAATTACAGCTGGTTAAAACCATGTGAAATGTCACAACATTTTGATAATAAATCCAGATCGAGTGCACTAGAGACATGTAAACGGGTAGCGAGAGACATTTCAAAGCATTTTTCTGCACACAACACTGACCTAATCCCACTCTGTGCTGGTTTAATCCCTCTGCCCTCCCTCTCTGTGGTGTGATTGGTTAATCCCTGCGTCTGTGTACTCTGATTGGTTAACCTCTCTCAGAGGGTGCAGTGCACTTGTAATCTTCCCCCTCAGCACTGAGAGTTTCAGACAGACATTTGTGCTGTAATCCCAGGGAGGAGCAGATGTGATGGGGGATGGACGGCACCGGGCAGACCTTGAGGAAGGTTAATGCTGAGAAACAAAAACACAACACGAAGTCTGAGGAGGAAACCTTTCGACCCTGCTTCATTGAATTTACCTGTGGTGGAAGAGGAATCAGCTCTTTTACTTATATGAATACCGCAGTGTAAAAATACTCTGTCACAAGTAATATCCCTGCATTCAAAATATTACTTTAGCAAAAGTATGAAAATATTTAAGTCAAAATTTACTTTTGACTTTAATTCACCAAAAATATTATAATTATTGATGTTTTAATGTGTAAGCATCACTAGTAGCAGATTTTACTACTTTATACACTGACAGGCAGTTTAGTCCACAATAATACATCATAAATATTAGATTAGATACATTTTGTATTTAATAACCTGTATCTGCAAAGTAAATAGCGACTAATGTTGTCAAATAAATGTAGTGTAGTAAAAAGTACAATTTGGCTTCCACAATGTGGTGGAGTAGATGTAGCATTAATTGGAAATGCACAAGTTAAGTATTTTACTTCAGTACCATTAAAATTTTAATGAAATGCAGCACCTGAGTAAATATCTCCCCTACTGGAATTTATCATAGACTGTATAAATAATGGACATAGCTACCGTGAGGTCATCCATAGCTACTGTGAGGTCATGTCGCATAGACTGTATATCAGTGTCGTACACAGACATTTTGCAGGGCAGGTGCTAAAAGTGGAAAAAAGGGCATCCCCTCTACTTTTTTTTGCAAGCACAAAAAAATGTCCACACACAAAGCGCAAAGTGTACAAAGTTCTCTATCTGCCAGCACCAAAGGGTTTCTTCAACCTAAGTACACACAGTACATTTGTGCATAGGAATGAACAGGGGAAATGTGTGTCTATGAGCTGTCTCAAGATCCATACTATATACACCTAGCAGCTGCTACACATACACATTCACTTTCTGCATTTATCATTTATTTATAACAGGCAATGACAAATAAAAAAATGTGACATTGTGCACACTCCAGTGCTCTGTAGAGTAAATAACCATCACAATCAACAAATCTTTACACAAAACTGAGAATGCTGCTCTTTGAATAAACAACCAATCTACCCTCCAACTACAAAGTGGGCCTGTGTTCAGTTGCAACAGTCAGACTAAGTGTGCTCTCCTCTCCTCTCCTCTCCTCTCCCGGTTCCGGTTCCGGATGAGTGTGAGTGTGGGTGGTGGTGGTGGATGTGTGAGTGGCATGGAATTGAACAGTTTCTGTCCCTGATTTCTGGGTTTTCTGTGGTTTTCAGCTGTGATCTCTGCATGATCAATGTAAGTTTTGTTTCATAGTGTTTTTGGTGTCTGCCAGCTGTTTGTGCAGGTTTTGCGGGAGGAATGACGTCCTCCAAGGAGACAGGTGTTCATGTTCTTGGACTCACCTGCACACATGGCAACGCCAGCTCCAGCCAAATTAAATGTTTTGAGTGTGGGGATGTGGGGCACAAACGGTTTGCGTGTCCTCATAAGCAGCGGGCGGATGCGGTCACTGGCGCCACTGTCGTGGTCGGCTCTGTGGCCAGGTCCGCTGTGGCTCCAGCGGGCCCTCGGCTGGCCCAGTGGCTGAGTCGGTGTGTGAGTCTGTGGATGGTCTCATGTCAGGTGAGGCTGCAGTCAGCCTGAGGAGACTGTGGAGAAGGCCCCTCCGACAGTTTCTTGCAGGTGCAGGTGAGGCTGTGGGGGGCTGTGACAGTGGACAGACTATGGAGGCTGTTGTCAGCAGCCAGGCATCAGGTGGAAGAGAGGATACAGAATGGGACTCAGAGTCAGATACTGTGTCAGTCAGTGAAGTGTCCAAAGGGAACACAGATTTCTATTCCTTAGTGTAAATAAACACTTCTAGGTCGAACTTTTCACAGATCTGTAAAAGTTAATGATTACTTTAGGGACACTGAAAGGTTCATCTCATCAGCGGGAGTGTTGAAGGGATTTGTTGGTCTGGACCTATTAGATGAAAGGAAGCATTTTCACCTCAAGAAACATATCACAGTTAAAAAGATTAAAGTGGGGGCGTCGGTAGCATAGTGGATAGTGCCGGCGCCCCATGTACAGAGGCGATGCCTCGACGCAGTGGTCACAGGCTCAAGTCCGGCTTGCAACCATTTACTGCATGTCACCCCCCCCCCCCGCTCTCTCTCTCTCACCCCACTTCACTCTGTCCTATACATTAAAGGCAAAAAAGCCAGAAAAAATAATCTTTTAAAAAAAAGTGAAGTAAGATGATTTTCATACACTGTTCTTTACCACTTTCCTCTTTTCTGTCTCTCTTCTCTGACCCTCAGAAAAGCATTATAGGGTCTATCAACATTAATGGTGGGAGAGACAGACATAAAAGTGCTCTAATCAGTGAGATTGTTTCTCAAAAAAAGATAGATGTGTTGTTCTTGCAGTGACCAGGCAGATGAGGTAGACTGGGGTTTATGTTGGGAGAGTCCACACCTCCTGAGTCATATACAAGTGTCAGTGCAGAGGTAGCCATCCACCTCAGAGCGACTGCCAAAGCATCTCTCTGTCATTTTCTCTGTTAGCGAGGTGGTCAGAGGTAGGCTGCTGATTGTCAGGGCAGAGATTGACAGCTCAGTATTTTGTTTTGTTAATATTCATATTAACAATATATTTTTTTTACAAAAATACAGTCTGAACTCAGGAACTACAAGTCATTCTTGGTGGTGTTTTCAACTGTACTGTTGACTTCACTCAGGGCATAACCAATGGATAACCACACCCACAGTCCTCTCAATGTCTAAAACAAACCATTACTTACCTAGATCTGTTTGATACCTGGAGACCCAAACACCCACACACCCTACAGTACACATGGATAAGGATCAGAAACAACAGGGTCAATGCAGCTAGACTAGATAGGTTTGATCCGATCATACTTCCTCTAGCTGAAGGACATGGATGCCCCAAGTTCCTTCTTCTTTGTACCTATGAAAAGGCCTCATCTGCAAGGGTAAACTGGGCTAAGAGTGAAGCCTTGCTTGTGGGACAGTGGAGGGATCAGGCAGTGCCCAGTCTACCTGGAGGACTTAGGTGGGGAAAAGAGGGACTAAAAGTTCTGGGGATGTTTCTGGGCTCTGAAGGGTTTCAAAGAAACAGCTGGAAGGGAGTGAAGGGGAAAGTGTGTGCTCAGTAGTCTAAGTGGAAATGGTTGCTACCCCAGCTGTCGTAAAGAGGAAGAGTCCTGGTCACCTCGACTCTGTGGCACAGACTAGTCACTCTGACGCCTCCAAGGCCTCAGATAGAGGGCATCTAGAAAGACATCCTCAGCTTCTTCTGCAAGCAAGCACTGGATCCAATCAGCCGTTCTTCACCTGCCTGTGGCTGAAGGAGAACAGGGCCTGATTGACATCCAGTCCAAAGTTGCTTCCTTCAGACTCAGAACTGCTCAGAGACTGATTTACGACTGTGGCCCCAGCTGGTGTGACACAGCTCACCTGCTGCTGAGGAGAACAGGATGGTTGGGCTACAACAAGCAGCTTTTCCTCCTAGAACCAGAGGACGTGGACTTTACAGATGCAACACCATTTTACAGCTCTGTGTTGCAGGTTTGGCAGATTTTTAAGACTGTACAGAGCACAAATGCGCCTATGTGCATGTGGCTATGACTATGACTGACTGGCTGCACCAAACTGGGTCACCTTATGAAGATGACGGCCACATCTGTGGAAGCCCTGATGGAAAAGAGCAACATCAGCTCTGTCAGGCTCATCAACAAAGTGGTGGAGGAAGTCTGTGCTGCCCTGCCACAGCCACTGAGAGTGTTTGTAGAAAACTGTGCTCTGTCTGACCAATGGAATGATAAGTGTGAGTAAAGTTCCCCCTCTCTCTCCATCTCCCCGGCTGTGGGGGAGTGGCAGGAGAGTGGGGGTCAGCTGCTTCCTTCCAAACCCCTTGCCTGAAGTCTGCGTTACGGTTTTGAACCTGCGCCCTCTGGCAGGGCTGAAGGAGTCAAGGTGGACTGAGTTCTTTGGCCCAGACATTTCCTTGAAAAGCAGCTGGTGGTCCCTGTAAAAGATGCCCTTGGAGAAGCATACAGGTGTCCTCCAGTCATACATGGGGCAATAGCTACGAACAGATAAAGAGCGCACCT